TCATATTCCGTAAATCAAATTACAACTTATACAATAATGTTTCTTACTATTTTCCAAGGGAAAATTAAAGATATTTATTTGTTATTAATTTGCCCTCAAAAATTATGATTTTAAGTTATTTTTTTAATACTTTTTATCTTTATGGTTAACCTTCCATTTGGGGGTTGGGGTGGGGTGGGGTGGAGGGGGTGGGGTGCCCATCCATAATTCATATTACATATTTTAATGGTCATATTGTGTAAATCCAATTGACAACTTATTCAATAATGTTTATTGAGTCACATTATTTATGGAAATTTTTTATTTTGTGTGTCACATAACCAATATTATTTATGAGGCTATTTTATTGCTTGACAAATGGACATAATTACTTATCTTTTTTGCAATTTTATGAAACGAGGACTGATCAGTAAAAAGATGAAATTTCAAAAATATTTCTTCCATTTCATTATATGAAAATATCAATCACTACATGTAGAGCAATAAGATATATAATATAAATATTCATCCTAATGTTCTTTTATGACTTGTGCTTTTGCAAAAAACAACACGCATCTCTTCATTAGCTTTGAATCTGCATAAAATTAATCAAAATAAATGTCATAAATAAAGTGATACCAACCTAACAAAAAAAAAGTTAGTAAAAATAAAATTATACCTTAAATTCTTGAGCAGAAACGTGACCTCCCTGACATTTTTTCATACAGTCACTATAGCAATCCCCGTTAGCCCTACCTTTACTTGCACAATGAATAAAGCATTTTGCTGAGCAAGACATTTTTTCCTCACCAACAGCTTCAACATTTGTTAAAACATTCACAATTAAAAAAATTGTCAATATTACTTTTGTGAAGTTCATCATTTCTAATATTATTTTTTCCTCAATGGAATATTATTTTCTTTTGTGTCTTAGGTACTTGATGAAAGAAAAACAGTGCTATTTATAATCAAAATTTCAACTATAATTTAAGACACATTAGACTATAATTAATCACATAAAACATTTAGATTAATAATATCAACTTATAGTCAATAATATAATTTGGCTGTAATATTTATTATAGTCAAACTATTAATATATATTAATTTACTACGTAATTTTCTTAGACTATATATTTTGATTTTCATATTATGTAAATGTAACTAACAACTCAAAAACATTAATTAATGAAATAAAAACATTTAAATTATAATCAATAGATTATAGTCAAACTATTAATAAATATAATATATAATTTATTAGTCATATTATGAAAATTTAACTAACAAAACATAAAAAATAATTAATCAGATAAAGCATTTAGATTATAGTCAATAATGCAGTTTGACTATAATATAGATTATAGTCAAATTCTTAATAATTTAGTATTTTTTTTTAGTATATATTTTGATTGTCATATTATGTAAATTTAACTAACAACTCATTAAAAAAAATGTCTCACTTAACTTTATCACAATGGAAAGACAAAGTTATTTCTGTATAATAACTGCAATTAATTTCTCCCTCGACAAAGTTATCGTTTTAAATTTTTAATTATAAAGTCCAGAACATAAAATATTACAATATTTAGTTACTTGAATTAAAAAATATCAGAAAAACTAATTCAAATTTAATTGATCGTATTCTCTTATTATATAAGTGTGACAATTAAATAACTAGAGTTGTCAAAAAGAGTCAACCCAACTCAACCCGACCCAAGACTCACGGGTCAAAGAATTTGATGTGCTAGGCGGCCCTATCCTTCATTTGGAAGGCTCGAAAATACTCATCTCAACCCAATCCTAGAAGGGTTGCGAGCTGAGGCCGACTAGCCCTTTTTTTTTCATTTCAAACTTAAAATTCTATAACATCAAGAAAATGATAGGATTTTCAAATCAAATATGACAAACAAAGGTGTTCTTTCAATAACACTAGCAAAAAATCTAGTTGATTAACATGTCTTAAATTATCTTAGAATTTTACCCATGAAATTTGAAACTTATGTTGTTTTTGTAGGGAGCCATACCCATACAGTGGCTTTATTGCATTTCCTTAAATAATTTATGTTGTTCAGACTGTTCAAAAATATTGTCATTTCTGACTATTTTGAAAATTTTGACACACACCTGTCAACATTTTAAAAAAGTCTAGGCAACATACCATATAATATACCAATAATATCTCTTTAAGGAAAGTTATTCTCGGACCTCAAAAGTTTTATTTTTAATTCTTTTGATTTTCTAATTCATATATATAGGTGTTTGGAGAGTGAAGTTAATTATGAATCCCCTATATGTAGTAGATGTAAGAAACGCATGGGTACAATATCATAGCAAATACCACAATATCGAACATCATTCCAGCTTCTTACTATGTAATCAAATATGTAAGAAACACATGACAAGTTCCAAACTCATTTTTGCAAATAAGTGAGGAGGAGCTAAACAGTGGCGAAATATGGGAATATCATCATCACTTGCCCAGATTTATAACAGCTTCCATTAATGAGCTAAATCATCCACTCTTGATACCATAACTGAATCCACATAAGAAACAATTTGGATCTCTAACACTCCAACCGCAAAGCTAAAAGATTTGCAACCAAAACCAACCTCGGATTTGCAATGATCAAGTTAAATTACAGATCTTCAATTTGGGGATGACCATGCAAGCATAAAAAAAATCAACAACAGATGAAAAGCTTCATGATGGAATATCAAGAATCTATCCATGTTAAAACTATGCTTAGATTCCCTCATAACTTATACATGTTAGTTTCTAAGTTCCAACCAAACACCTATTAATTTTATACATAGTAGAATACTGCCACCCACCAAACATAGTATAACTTACTTCCTAGCCACCTACCAAATAACCCCTAAGGAAAGAAAACACAAGTGAGAGGGATTGCATAAAAGGCAGGCTATTCTTCTGAGACAACACTTGGAAGTACACTGGAAGATAGCCGAGATACAACCATCATAAAAGAAGAAACTATACGTCTTGGACATCAAGCAATTGTGTTAGTTGAAAATTGAGAAAAAAATACTTCTGCTGCACATGGCAAAACATATTACTAGCACCTGGAAATATTATATGGGTAAATGTGGAATCTCCAATATAGTTGTATCCTACGTGACCAAGTAGGCCAAGGCCTATGACCAAGAACAAGCATTACAAGATCCTTAAGGAGGTTGAGGTTTCGGAGAGATCTTCTTTTTTTTTTGATATCTTCTCCGGCCTAGACTGAACGTCACAATAATTAAAGTCGGAGAGCACTCAGCATGCTGAACCAAGTAGACCAGATACCTCTGAGACATGGCCATTCTAAGCATCTCAAGCCTCAATACATTCAATAACAACACCCTTTGTTCAGAACGGGCTCAATGAAATGCCGATTATAAGTTGAAATACGAATCAAGGAAACCAGGAACAATGGGTGAAAAGAAACTAATCAACTTAAGAAAAGAGATGCCCTCTCACAAGTTCACAATATGGGTGACAACTCAATCAGCCGACCTACTTAGCTCATAATGCTTGCCACAGGACTAGCTCAAGCAACCTAGGTCCAGATTAAGGTGAATAAGCTCCCTACAAAGTTGGACCCTAAACCATGAGAGAATCTCAGGAAACTTGTATGACAAAAATTATAGCAATGGACGGGAAAGTAGCTCTTCTCTTAAAGGAAGATTTCCCAGGATATAAGGGAATCATAGGTAAAGGCACAAGGATCTTATCAAGCAAACAGAGGGCACAAATAAAGCATCAAGATCAAATCAGGTAGTATCAAGATTTCAAGTGCCTTAATCTAATTCTGCGCCTCACAGTAGTTCGCCTAGTTTTTATCCCATTGTTTCAATATTTGAATTAATTGGAACATGGAAGGCCTGACATCTCAGGCACTCTTCTTCTTTCTCTCTTTTTTTTTCTCTTGTGTTTGCTATACCTTTTGCTCACCACCCAAGCAAAGTCGGTCCCCAGTTAAGATTTCAATCCATGTTAACATAGCAAAACCCAAGTGGCCTACCTAAATCTCTCAATCAAAAAAAAACAAAAAAAAACTCTCACATAAATGGCATAGGAAATATGGTTTTACATGTAGAGACAGATATATACCCACATACTCGCAAATGAAAAGAAAACTATAACACATTTACGCATTATTATTGTTTATTTAGTTAGAATGATGTCACCTTCGGGAATTGTTTTTAAGGATCAAAACCTCGAGTTAGACCACAAATGGTGCCCAATCATAAGAGAACTTGCCATTAAAACAAAATCTATTCCATTTTTTTTCCTCCAAAATGTGAGGCATATTACACAAATATTTATTTTTTCAGAAAACAATAAATAAAACAGTAATCCAGCAGTTGTACCTTTTCCCATATTAATTTGTTTTATATAAAAATAGAGTCTGGGCTAGTTCGCAAACACGTCAACTATTATGCGGTGTACCTATATCTTCCGCACATAGCAGTAACTTTGTCCACCAAGGCTTTAGGATAGGAAGAATCTGACAAGTTATCTTTGTATTTACTGGGATTTGAAGCATGATCGAACTTAGATCACACTCTTGGGTATGCAAATTATTCTTTACTGGCTATATCAACTACACACATATGCTCTTAGAGATTCAATTTGGAAATATTATTGGAAGTTGGGAGATGGAGTAGAGCACACACATTCTTTACAGCCATAAAAAGCAAAATCCATACTGTAATTTACCAAGGCAAACTCTCGACACATTAGCACAATGAAGAAGAATGGAACAGTGAAGCATATAAAACAACAGTAGTTAAAGGGCTGAAATCAACCAAAAGTAATTTAATGATATGAAGCTCTTCAAATCACCAAAGAAAGAGGTGAGATGTGAAGGCAACAGAGAAGATGTCAAAGCAAATTATAAGCCCTGCAAAATAAATTATTAAGAAAATCAAGTGTAACTTCTTTTTGACCTATTACTATCAGTTCTTCAGAGTTCAGATCATTGTAGATAATAACAACAACAAGTTATCGATCCGTTCTTCAGAGTTCAGATAATTGTAAATAACAGCAACAACTAGCTATAGATGTGGAAGAGACTTCTCAAGAGTTCTTCAGAATTGCCCTAAAAGCTTCTAAGATGTTAGACTCCAACAGTTTCACAAAGCCTGGCCATAAATCCCAAACATACATCTCTACTCGGGAGGAAAAAAGGTTCATTATTCCTAAAACATGATTTAGCAATCGAAATTGAGCAATATTTTCAACCCAAAATGGTGATGGACTTGGGAAAAGGACTATATTTCAGTAGAAACAATTAACATTATGCCGGAAAGGGACATCAAATTTCACCTATGCCTTTGTCTTCCTCCTCAAGCGCTTCCTTAGCTTCTTCAACTTGTGCTTATTCATCTTCTTCTTCCTCTTTTTCTTCACACTATCCGCCCATATCTTCAGTGAATCTTCTTCTACGACGACGCCTCCATCATTCTCAGATTTAATTACCCCAATTTGAGAAATGGGGTTTAGGAAAAACCCGAAAGAGAAACTTGGGTAAACCAGTGAGCAAGGGGAAACATTCTGATTTGAATCCTCTGTTTCGCGTTGGAGACAAAAGGGTATTTGATTTCGTCTGCTACAAGAAGGATGAGCCAAGATTGGTGGCTGAGGAGGGGTAGAACTGAGGATTGCCGGTTCGGATTTATTAAGGTTAGTGATGATTCTTGTTGTGGCAGATTGAAATTGGTTCTTCACAGCTTTCCGAAGAATTGAAGCCATATGGAGTAACAATTCAAGAACCACCAAAAAGAGAAAGAAAAAATAACAGAGAATTGCATCCGCTAGGGTTTTGCCAAAAAGGAAGACGTAAAAGTTTCAAAAAATAAATATTTGCCCCCATGCAGGATCGAACTACAGACCTTCAGTTTACAAGACTGACGCTCTACCACTGAGCTATACGGGCTGTGTTCTTTGCATTGAAAAAGAAGTTAATTATCCAATGAATACCGTTCCTCTTCTCCATATTAAAAATTATATACTAACAATTTAGTTGGTGGGATAAGAATAAGAATTTTCGTCATAAGACTATTATAAGGTGAATTTGGTAATATGTGTTACCTAGTCCTAGGATTATTTTATATAATCGTGCGATAAGTTATCTCATATAAAATGTGAAATAAAATAATCTCATAGAATATCCTTGTCTATCTCATCCCACCAACTAAACGACCTTTAAAAGGGTAAACAAAAGAGGATACTTGAGTCATATTCACTATGAATTAAGTTTATCCACCTCTCATTTTAATAACACCAAACAACATAATTTGATTCAATTAGATGATAAATTAAGGTAGAGTACCAAATAGTTAACATACTTAATTAAGTGATACAAAAAGTTAAATGTAAATATCAAACGAGTTACTGTAAATATCTTCTTCCTGTATAAGCCTAAATAAGACGATTTGTTATGGCTTGTAAGTAAGCCAGGCCATAAAGTGAAGTTAACAGAATTTCAGCATATGATTTGTGGTCACTAATTACAAATTGGGCTTATACAACAAATAAAAATAAAAATGTCACACAATAATATACCCAGGTTTACTACAAATTGAATTTAATTACAATGTATGAATACAAATTTATTCATGCACTGGTTTAAAGTTTCTATAAGCTATAACTGCGTAAAAAGGATCAGATGAAGCTGATAACAACCCAATCAACTGCATTATTTTACTCAGAGGTGATTTATTTTCTTGATCATCATTACTTGGTAATTTACGAATCACTTCTGGCTCTGTAAATCCCTTAATACATTGAAAATATTGTACCACAAGTTGCACTCTTCCGTACCCTGTACTATCCCTCCAGGCACTAATTGCTTTATCATAGAACAATCTGTTACTGAAACTTACAATAAACACTCCTCCAGGTCTTAGAATTCGAAATACTTCCGTGAAAACCTGAAATTTAATAACATTGTATTATAGGGATTATTAACACAATGATCAACATAGAAACTAAACATTGTGTTCTTAATGCAAAATTTAGTACTAATCTATCTAGTTAACCTTATCACTATATCTTTGGATTTTGTGTGGCTTATAACCAACCACACATTTTGCAACAATGTCTATGTGGTTGTGGTGACACTTGATTCTATCCTTCATTTCCAAATCATCAATCTTTATCATCTAATTAAGGGATCATTTATGTGCAGGGCACGTTAAAGAAAAGATTAATCACAATATAATTAAGTGGTCATTAATTTAGGGTAATTACTGACCTTCTCAGGCTGTTGAAGATACTGCACACTAACAGTACATAAAACAGCATCAAAACTGCAATTTTCAAACTCAAGTTTCTCATCTTCATTCAAATCCTTCACAAAAAAATAATCCAATTTGGGATTTTTTGCTAGCTCTTGTGCATTAAGTCCATGACCTACCACCTTTTTGTACTTCACTTCTTGAGGTAAATGACTCACCCATGAGCTCATAAGGTCAAGAATCTCAAATTCAGGCCTCAAACATTTCCTATAAAAACAAGGGAGTCAGGGCACGTTAAATTGGACTGTAAATCCTATATGTCTAGTGTATTTTGACACCCTTACCTGTAAAGATTTGTTAAATTGGAAATGAAACGATCATCGACGTGTGTGACGAATCTTGGAAAGGCATAAAATTCCCTGTCTGGTAAAATGTTAAGTTTGGTTCTTCCTTGTTGAGTAAGTACCATGCGTTTGATTTTTCCTGCTGTTGATTTTGTAGAATTGTTATCTTCACTATTATAGGCTTTTGGAATTATTATTGAGGGATTTGTTTTTATTTTGGATGGAAGAGGAAACAAGTGTAAGTTTGAGGATTCCCATGTTTTGGGATGGGAATTTGGAGCTATGGTGAGAAACATGTCTAATTGACTTTGATGAACACACAGATCAATTTATCATTTTTATTTGGTGTTTGAAATTGTTCAAATTAACTTTTTGGGCCCATAGGTAATTGGACTGGTAGCCCACGTCCGTCAAGACTGCAGGGCTGAAATCACAGTCAAATAAAAGTTTAGCTTTCAAAATAGGCCATGTAAATTAGAATAATGTGAGTTCTAGTATTTTCCTTTTATATTGACGAAATTCTTCTTTTTTATTTTCTACACTAGAGTTTGTTTCTTTTATATTGAAAAAATTCTCTTCCTTTTTGGAATTTATATAATAAAATAATAATATCACACATTTTCTTAGTATGTTGTATATTTGATTGGTGAAGTAGATCGAGTCAACAAAATAATTTAAACGGTATCTTATTATTTTTTATAAAATTAAGTTTAAAATAAAAATGATATTTTTTAAATATTTAATGAAAAAAATTATTTAAATTGATTGGGTGACCTTTTAAGTGAAATATCAATAGTTGAATGACTTGAAAATCAAATTAAGTTATGTAACCTTTTAAGTGAGCTACTAATCTGCAACTTTTCAGTTATAAAACAAAATTAAGTAACGAAATCATTCAAAGTTTGAGTCAACAGAAGAAGAAAGTCCATACAAGAAATGTACAGATAATCTTTGATCTGATGTAAATAAGATAGTTTTAATTACCAACTTATCTAGGCATGGACTATAGGTAGGGGTGTACAAGACCGGGTAGGTTTGAGTTTTTCAAATATCAAACCAAATCATTTGTGTAAAAATTTTAAATTTATAAACCGAACCAAACTAATAAAATTCAGATTTTTTCGGGTTTTTCAAATACCAAACCAAACCATTGTGTCGAATTTTTAAATTTATAAATCAAACCAAACTAATAAACCTCGGATTTTTTTTCCAGATTTTTGGATTTTTTCGGTAAAGTTTGCATACAAACATATAATTAACTTGTGCTCCAAATATTTCTTTAGTCCATCCAAAATACAATTATCGAAGGTGTTTCTTAAGAAAAAAACACAAAATATGAGATGAATATTGATGACACTAAAATATTCAATAAAAAATAATAATGAAATCATCATATAAAATAAATATTGCAAAGTCATAATGAAAATGATCATAATTTAAAAGTACTAAATCATGCTAAAATAAGTTTAATAAGTATTAGTTACATTACTGAATACTTAAGAAAAATTAAAATTAGATTATGTATTTTAATTGTCTAAACCAATGTAAAACTAAAAAATAAATATTCAATATTATTGTCATTCTTAGAGTTGAATTGATTTTCTTTTTGCATTAGTATTAATTTGATTTTGATTTAAGTTTTATTATAATTATCAACATCTATGAACTATAATCTTTATTAGACCATCCGAATTCTAACTTTTTAAAACTTGAAATAATATATTAAAAGATAAAAACTATGAAATAGTATAAGAAATATTTTAAAATTATATCAAAGTAAATATTTTTATGTATAAAATAAACTTTTAAAATTACATATATAATGTCGGGTTGGTTTTTTTTAGTTAAAATCAAACCAACCCAAATATAGTCGGGTTTTTTTTTTCCAATACCAAACCAAGTCAAACTGAACCACTAGTCCGGTTTGTTTTTCGATTTGACTCGATTTGCGGTTTGGTTCGGTTTTGTACACCCCTAACTATAGGCATGCATATATAACTAAATGATCATTGCTACTCAACAGAAGAAGAAAGTCCATACAAAAATTATACAAATAATCTTTGATCTGATATACATAAGATAGTTTTAATTACCAACTTATCTAGGCATGGACTATAAACAGAAGAAGAATTCATACAAGAATTGTACAGATAATTTTTTATCTGATGTACATAAGATAGTTTTAATTACCAACTTATCTAGGCATGGACTATAGGCATATATAACTAAATGATCATTGCTACTCAACAGAAGAAGAAAGTCCATACAAGAGTTGTACATATAATCTTTGATCGATATAGATAAGATAGTTTTAATTACCAACTTATCTAGGCATGGACTATAAACAGAAAAAGAAAGTCCCTACAAAAATTGTACAGATAATCTTTGATCTGATATAGATAAAATAGTTTTAATTGCCAACTTATCTAGGCATGGACTATAGGCATATATAACTAAATGATCATTGCTACTCAACAGAAGAAGAAAGTTCATACAAGATTTGTACAGATAATCTTTGATCTGATGTAGATAAGATAGTTTTAATTACCAACTTATCTAGGCATGGACTATAGGCATATATAACTAAATGATCATTGCTACTTTAGATTATGTGATTTTTTAGTTATAAAATAAAACAATTGATTGGTGAAGTGGATCAAGTCAATAAAATAATTTAAATGAGTATCTTATTATTATTTTTTATAAAATTAAGTTTAAAACAAAAATTATATTTTAAAAAAATTTAATGAAAAATCAATCAAATTGGTTGGGTGACTTTTTAACATGTCATTTGGTTTGAATACAAGTTATGTTGAAATTAGTTATGCCGGGATAAGTTATGCCGAAATTAGTTATGTTGAGATTAGTTTATATTGCTTGATTGGTTTGTCATATTCAAACTTATATTCATTGCATATAAGTTGATTGTTTACAAAAACACCCTTCACCTTATTAGTTTTTTTTTTTTTTTTTTTTTACATTTTCTTTGCAAGCTTTAGTTATTCATTCTTAAAAATAAAATTTCCATCTTATTTAACTTAAATATTTTTATGTGTGTATTTTCATGATTGTGCCATGTGTTTTTAAAATAAAACTTCATCCTATTTAACTTAAAAATAAAACATACATCTTATTTAGCTTAAAAATAAAACTTACATCTTATTTAGCTTAAAAATAAAATTTCCATCTTATTTAACTTAAAAATAAAACTTTCATCTTATTTAGTTTAAAAACAAAACTTCAATCTTATTTAGCTTAAAAATAAATCTTTCATATTAAGTTTATTAAAGTAAAAAAAATTATTATTAAAGTTTCTACATTTTAATTGATATATAAAATATAACTTTTAAGTGAGTAATAAACTAATTAATTAAAATATGTAATTTAGTGGAGTGAACATTTTAAGAGAAATCAAAATATAAACAAACATAAGAATTAGGAAAAAAAATTCAATTTATAATATTTTCATAAATAAAAATTGTATTTATAAAATGTAATTTTTCAATAGAGAAATATATTATCATAAAAACAACGAATAATTAAGCTCGTGAATGTTGTTAAAAATTAGTATATGTTAATATATGAATGTAAAAGTGAGGTATAAAAGAGAGTTTAAGAGGGGTATTTTTGATATTTTACATACTTTATCCCAGGTAGAGTTGTCAAAAAGGGTCGGCTCAGCCCCACCTGGCCCAAGCTTTTAGGGCCAAGGAATTTGAAGGGCTAGGGCGAGACAACCCTTTATTTGAAAGGGCCTGAAAATGTTCAACCCAACCCAACCCTAGAAGGGCCAAGGGCTAGGGCGGGCTAGCCCTTCTTTTTTTTCAAACTTAAAATTTTGTAACATCAAGAAAATGAGAACATTTTCAAATCAAATATGACAAACAATGGTGTTGTTTCAATAACACTAGCAAAAAATGTAGTGTAATTAGCATGTATCTAGGATACTAGATATAAGAGATATGTGATGCATCCTAGATACGCGAGCGAGATAAGAGAGTGGCGAGCAAGATGAGAGGGAGAGGAGGGCGCGGTATTTGTCTATGTATCCTAAATACATGCGAATACACTTGGGTAGAGTGTATCTCGAGCAAATTAACCTAATTTTTATCCATGTATCCTAAGATACATGTATCTAGAAGTACTAAAATCTTGAAAGATTTATAATCTTATAACATAATGTGCATTTAAGTAATTAGCTTATATACTAGTGAGATTGTTGTAAGTTGCCCTTAAATAAATAGTATCGGCCCATGGGCTGACCTCGGCCCGACCCCGATGAAGCCTCAAGAGCCAAGGGATTATATTGGTTGGGCTTATAAGCCCTAGTTTTAAATGGGTTTGAAAAATCATATCCCAACCCTACCCCAATAACGGGTTGGGTTGGGCTGTCCCCATGGGTTAAGCCCATTTTAATGGCTCTAATCCCAGGATAAGTTATCCTGGGATTACTATTCCACCTCCGGTGCGAGATAACTTATTCTAGGACTAATTGTTAATCCTGAGATAAGTTATCCGAGCCTTTGCAACCAAACAACATATTAAAGGCTACTCAAAAGTTATCCCGGAATTAAGTCTTCTTATCCATCACATCAAACGATCCCTAAGTAAAATAACAATAGTTGAATGACCTTGAAAATAAAATAAAGTTATGTAACTTTTTAAGTAAGAACTTCAAATTATACTACTTTTAGTTATAAGGGAATCATAGTCAACAGGAAGAAGAAAGTCAATACAAAAAGTTTACAGATAATTTTTTATCTGATGTAGATAAGACATGTTATAATTAGCAACTTTTCTCTGGGCATGGGCTATTGGCCTATATAAGTAACTGATTGCACAAGGCAGGATAATCCCATACTCCAAACTAAATTATTAGTACTAAAGAATTTGTTTCATCATGATTTTGCCCCTTCCAGTGATATTGGCTTTCTTGTTTGGTACTGTAATTTTTGTGTTAAACTTAATCTTTCAGCAATTTTTCTTAGTTGATAAGCATGACCATAAAGGGTTACCTAATGGGAGCATGGGTTTACCCTTGATTGGAGAGACATATGGCTTCTGCACCCCTCATAAATCATTCTCCATTGGCAATTTCTTGCAACAACGTTGCTCTAGGTATGTGCAAAATCTTATTATCATGTGTGGCAAATTGGCTTGTTTGATCAAATTTAATTGGGAATATACTGAATGGGCAGGTTAGACTAAATTTGCATGCTGATCCACTCAAAAGTTACTTGGTTTGAAATGGGCTAGCTAAGAAATGGGTTTAAAACTCAAGTCGCCCACTTATTACTCTGATTTAATTGCTTTATTTATTTATTTATTTTTATAATTTTTTTAGTAACTACTAAAATTATTACTTTTCTTTATTATGACTATATATAGCCTATCGAATAAAATTATTATGATGCGTGAAAATTGGCTTGTTTGATCAAATTTAATATCCGATCTTTTGTATATAAATACATTTTCATCCATTATATTACACTATTTGACAATGTTTTGAACCAACCTATTTAAACTTAGGCAAATTAAAAGAATCAAAACTAAAAATAAGTTTATTTTTCCATCGCGCTTAAGGGTATATATTATGTTGATTCTATTTCAGATATGGGAAAATATTCAAATCCAATATATTTGGGGCTCCAACCATTGTTTCATGTGACTTGGAGCTCAACACATTTGTCCTCCAAAATGAAGGAAAATTGTTCCAGAGCAGCTATCCAAAACCTGTCAAAAATATTCTTGGGAAACACTCTTTGTTGCTTCTCACTGATTTTGACCGTCACAAAAGATTTCGAAGCATTGAAATGTCTCTCATCAATAAATTTAAGTGTACACCACATTTTTTTAGTCATCTTGATAAGTTGTGTCTCTCACTAATGGAGTCATGGAGAGGAAATCAATTCATTCTCTTTTTAAACAAGCCAAACAGGTCCGTCCACTTAATAATTCGTCATCTATATACATATACATACGTATATAATTAATTGTATACATAACTTTATTTGAATTTGCAGTTTAGCTTTAGTATGATGTTGATGAGTGTGTTGGAGATGGAACCTGGAGAACCACTTGGTTTGGAGTTACTAAAAGATTTCCTCACATTTATGAAAGGCTTTGTCTCCATTCCAATTAACCTTCCATGGACACACCATGGCAAGGCCATCAAGGCACTGATAATTTTTTTCTTACATAATTATTTTAATTAAAAGTCTCGAGTTTGAATGTATGATTCTTTGTGGTGAGTGCAGGCTCGTAGCAGGATCGCATCCACATTGAAACAAATACTAAAAGAAAAGGACTGTTTTAATGAGATAATGTTATTGAAAGGAAAATTGAATGATGTGGAAAAAGTGAGCATTGTACTAGACCTTCTTTTTGCAGGTTTTGAAACAACCTCTGGACTTTTGTCTCTACTAGTTTATTTTCTTGCTAAATCATCACAAGCTCTTCAAAATTTGAAGGTAAAAATAACTCTTCAATCGTCAAACTAATTTAATATTTGTAAAATTATATCAATACCAATTACTTCTCTAATTAATTATCATATGATCAGGATGAACACCGCGCATTAAGGAGAAAGAAAAAAGGGGGGAACCCCTAAATTGGGAAGATTATAAGCAAATGGAATTCACCATGATGGTAATTAATTCTTCTACTTTTTCAATTCAACCATTATGGTAATTCTCTGTATGCTTTCATTTGTATTATAAAAAAAATTAAAACTCTCATTATAATTCAGGTCATAAATGAAACTCTACGTTGTGGAAATTTGGTGAAGTTTGTACTCAGGGAAGCTATTAAGGATGTAGACTTCAAAGGTTTGTTAACTGCAACTCATCAAATAACTCTCTTTTTTAAACCCTGACAAATTCTTATTTTCATCACTAACTTTTGATAATCTTCATGTCAATGAACTTCCTTCATATTGGTGATTTCAGTCATATATAAAACTCTCATAAGTATTTCGTTATGTTATTTTTTTTTTTTGTATAGTGTAATTTTTTTTTTGAGCTATATTATTGTGCTCGAGTTCCAGGATATCATATTTCAGCAGGATGGAAAATACTCCCTATATTTTCTTCGATGCATCTTGATCCATTGCTGCATGAAAATCCATCGGAGTTTAACCCTTGGAGATGGACCGTAAGTTTACCTTTATCTGGTGAAACATATTAATTTCAACGGACGATATATAAATTAAGGATGATTTTTTGTACGAAAAAATATGTATTTACTATAATAATATTTAGTTAGACAATTTATTTTTCTCAAATTCAGGATCCAGCCACAAGTAAAAAGGTGACCCCATTTGGTGGTGGATTGAGGATGTGTCCTGGATCCGAGCTTGCCAAATTAGAAGCAGCTTTTTTCCTACATCATCTTGTCCTCAATTACAGGTATTTAATTAATAAATAAAAGACCCAAATGTACGTTTAAATATATACCTCGTTATACTATCATTTTCGTTTGCCTTTATCTTTTTGTAAATTCTGATATAATTTTTTATATATTAAATCATATGATAAAAACATTAATCATATATTGTGTAGGTGGACAGTGAAAGAAGATGAATATCCAATGTTGTGCCCATATATGGACTTCCCAAAAGGACTGATAATAGCTTTGGAGGCAGAAACAACTGATCTTTAAGAAGTGATGAATTTCTTTAAATATAAAGTTGTTGTATAAGAATTAAGATTGATAGCTAATCTATTAATCTTATAATATTTATATTTAATAAAACAAATGTTGCAATGCTAAATTGAACTTTTGTTTTTTTTCGCCTTTCGCACTTTTTCAGAAAGTCACTAGCATACTATGTGTGTCATGTTATCACTCAAGGCTATAATTAGGGGTGTACAAGTCAAATCGTAAAGTCAAACCAAATCGACAAACCAAATCAAACAAAAAAAAAAAACTGATTTGTGGTTTGGTTTGGTTGGTTTGGCTGTTGAAAAAAAAACCCGACCACTCTTGGTTTAGTTTGGTATTAAAAGAAAAAAAGTCAAACCGAACCCAAATCAAACCGACATAATATATATATATATAGAGAGAGATAAAAAATATTATTTATAATCTACTTTGTTAATATATTTTTAGTTAGTTTATAGTTTTCAATGCTTATATATTTTATTTCAAATTTGGGCTTGTAAAATTTTGTAAATATTATATATATAATTTTATTTTATTTATAGATAAAAAAAATGTTATTTATAATCTACTTTGTTAATATATTTTTAGTTAGTTTATAGTTTTCAATGTTTATATATTTTATTTCAAATTTGGGCTTGTAAAATTTGTAAATATTTTATTTTGTATTAAGATCCGAAGTTACAATTATATTGTTATAGTTTTTCAAATTCGAAGTTAACAATTTACTTTGTAAATATTTCGTTTTGTATTCAGTTTGAATGTATCCTCTAATCTTATTAATTTAACATAATGAACGTTGATATTTCAAAAAAAATAATTGTACTCATGTGAATTTTACCGTTTTTACGAAAAATTCTATTCATTTAACATTTCTTAAGTTTAGCTTATCACACAGGTAAGTGAAAATATATTTGATCACATTTTCAAACATCGTATAGTTGTAAAAACCGAAAAAACCCAAAAGAACCGACTGAAATCGAAAAAACCGACTTTGCGTGATTTGATTTGGTTTTTAGATTTAATAAACCGACATAATTGGTTTAAGTTTTTTTTAATGAAAAACCAAACCAAACCGACCTATGTACACCCCTAGCTATAATAATGACATTTTGTATGATGATAATCAATTAAGTATAACTAATTGTGAAATATTCAATTAAAATGACATTTTGTACTAAGTAATCAATTTTGAATTTTTATTTTATTATTTAATTAAAAATCATAGTTTTTCAAGAGAGTCATCACTTATCACTAAATGGTGTAATGATAGCATTTAATTTTTTTTAGGAGGGTATTAAAATTCTTGCAAAGGTTAAATGTATGTAACTGAAAATTTAATCAAAGTTCAAAGATTTTTTAAAATGTGAATAGGAGATTATGTGTATAAATATGAATCTTGAATACCCTACAACTATAAAATAAAATGTCATTAATTAATGCCATAATTATCTAGAGTATAGGATTACAAAGGAAAAGAAATAATTATATTAAATTAAATGATCATAAAAGGTCTATTATTTAATGATGTATATTATAATGTGAATATATAATTGTATTCATAACTTGTTTTGGTACAACGATAATTGTTTCCATAGATAGAGGCAAGTCAATGTATTTTTTAAATTAAAAAAAGTCAAGATAGATTACGATTATGGATATATAATATTATAATTTCTCCAACTTAATTTTGATGGGTTATATATAAATGATTGACAGGGCATTATAACTCCATACTCTAAACAAAATTGTTAGTACTAAATATTTCTTGTTTATCAAATCATCATCATGATTTTGCTCCTTCCTGTGATATTATCTTTCTTATTTGGTACTGTAATTTTGGTCTTCATGTTTCACCATTTATTTTTCTTAGTTTATAAACATGATACTAAAAGCTTACCTGGTGGGAACATGGGGTTTCCCTTTGTTGGAGAGGCATTTGGTTTTTTTTTCCCTCACAAATCATTCTCCATTGGTAACTACTTGCAAGAACGTCGCTCTAGGTATATTTACTTTTCCCCAAAAATTTTAGTTTAAATTCTCTTATGTTGTCAATTTGATCTGTTCTGATGTGGAAATTGGATCAAATTTAATTGGGATGAACCATTTAACTAAAAAGGATCAAATCAATCCGTAATCATGATCAGCTCATGTGATGTATGCTTGAGTCAAGATAGATCAAATAACGAAATAACAAATTAACATGACCTAATCTCCCCTCATTTTTCTAAATTCTTTTTTTTTTTTTAAATAATAAATAAATGTGATAGCTAGCTAGTGTATGTTGCTTATATTATTATAATTTCTGATCTCCAATTTGATTTTATATGTATAGATTTGAATAACATTTTGATTCGTTAGATTATACTACTTGACATGTTTTTGACCCAATAATTTAACGGGTCATTTTAGAATCAAGTAGTTGGATATTCAGTTCATGACAAACGAGTCATAAGCCAGGCCGTTTAAACTTGGGTTGGTTCGATGAGTTTACTAAATAGATTTATTTTACCTCTAACACTATGTTTTCTTGGTTGTATTTCAGATATGGAAAAGTGTTCAAATCCTATATATTTGGGTCTCCTACTATAATTTCGTGTGACTTAGAGCTCAACAAATTTGTCCTTCAAAAAGAAGGCAAACTGTTCCAAAGCAGCTACCCAAAGCCAATTAGAGACATTCTTGGTAAGCACTCTTTGATGATTGTCAGTGATGTTGAACGTCACAAAAAGTTGCGACGCATTGAAGTTGGCCTCATCAACAAATTCAGTTCCACATCGAATTTCCTTGGTGACATTGATAAATTATGTATCTCGTTAATGGAATCGTGGAGAGGAAATCAACTTATTCTCTTCTCAAAACAAGCTAAACAGGTCCGTATAATCAAAATATAACTTTCGTCTTACCAAACACACCCTTAACGATAACGTTCTAATTAATGTGTAATTTGAATTTGTATTTGCAGTTTAGCTTTAATTTGATGTTAATGAATTTGTTGGACATGCAACCGGGAGAGCCACTTGGTTTGCAGTTATTAGAAGATTTCCTCACATTTATGAAAGGGTTTGTCTCCATTCCAATTAACCTTCCGTGGACACCCTATGCCAAGGCGGTCAAGGTACTTTTTTCTTACACTATTTGGCACATAGGCATCCTCTATTATTAATTAGAGATTTCGAATTCTTTTTTGATAAGAAGTGCTTTCCGGTTTAACGATTCTTTTTGCTAGCAGGCTCGTACGAGGATTTCATCCACGCTGAAACAAATACTAAATGAATGGAAAAATAGAAAAGACGTGCAAGTACAAAATGGGCAACAAAAAGGAGACCCTTTTGATGAGATTTTAGTGAAAGAAGACTTAATTAGTGATGTGGAGAAAGTAAGCATTTTACTTGACCTTTTGTTAGCAGGTTATGAAACAACCTCAGGACTTTTGTCCCTACTCGTCTATTTTCTTGCCCAATCACCACAAGCTCTTCAAACTTTGAAGGTAAAAACAAATATATGTCCAATTTTATAATTCTCTTCTAGATTATAAAATTAGACGTATACCTCTAGATTAATGATTTATCATATGATCAGGATGAACACCTCGCAATAAGGAAAAAGAAAAAGGAGGGGGAACCCCTAAATTGGGAAGATTATAAGCAAATGGAATTCACCACTATGGTAATTCTTCAATCTTCTATTCTTTTCAATTCAACCTAATCAATTGGGCCATATATTTGAACATGTAACCCTTGCATTTCTAATGTACGTTTTCATTTGATGAACTAATTAAGTGAGTACTTTTTTTAAAACTTCCTCTTATATATTAGTATGAACTATTATCTATGGTTACTTTTTTTTTCTTTTTAATATCATTATAATTCAGGTTATAAATGAGACTCTACGTTGTGGAAACTTGGTTAAGTTTGTTCATAGGGAAGCTATCAAGGATGTAAAATTCAAAGGTTTGTGAACAAGAAATCATTAAAGAGCTTATATTATATTTTAGTGTAGATTAAATATGCATAATGCAATATTTCTTTTTATCATTGTGCTTGGATTCCAGGATATCATATTCCAGCGGGCTGGAAAGTGCTTCCTATTTTATCTGCAGTACATCTTGAACCATCGCTGCATGAAAATCCATCGGAGTTTAACCCTTGGAGATGGACAGTAAGTTTTCCTCATTTTGTTCCCATGAAAATTTTCCTAAACCAACTTTGAGCCTAATGTCATGGACTTAGACTGTCATAACGCTCCGTGCGACACTTAATACTTAAAGTGGCATGTCAGGACACTAAGCCTAATAAAATTTCAGGATCCAGCTACAAGCCATAAGGTGGTCCCATTCGGAGGTGGATCCCGGTTGTGTCCTGGGTCCGAGCTTGGTAAATTAGAAGCATCTTTCTTCCTACACTATCTTCTCCTCAATTACAGGTATTTAATATGGCAATCAGTAAAAATAAAATAAAATAGCCTTTTACTATTATTTTAATGTATTTTCTCGTTATACTATTCATCATCATTTTTACCTTTATCGCTTGGATAATTTCTAGATTTGCCCTTACTTTAACGGGCTAGATATGATTAGGCTTTATTATCATTAATTTGGTCTCTAAACCTACTAGTTTGAATCTTGATATTTTTTTTAAAAAAAAATTAAACCATATTTGATCATCTGATAAAATAATCATCATTTATTTTGTAGGTGGACAATGAAAGAAGAAGAATATCCAATGTTGTACCCATATATGGACTTCCCAAAAGGATTGCTAATAGCTTTGGAGACAGAAACAAAAAATGTTAATTAAGTATAGGGTTTGTTTAAGGAAAAAGTTGTTGAATTAGTATGATTGTTTAAATTTAACTAAACATTTATGATATTCATTTCTTCAATTGTTTGACAACTCTATGGAATCCTTTTCTAGCATAACGTTTGGTTACCATATTACTCCCTTTGTCCACTTTTAATTGTCATGTTGTGTTTTTCAAAAGTCAATTTAATTAATTTTCAAAGTTAAATTAGATTACAGTAATTCAATATTTTAAACAAAAAATTTAGATATTTAAAAATTATATGAAAAGTACTATAAATTCCAATTTTTCTATATCGTAAAATGTTAGTCAAAGTTATTATCATTTTACTCTAAAAAGAAATCGAAAGTCAATTTGACTAATTTTTAAAGTTAAATTAGATTACAGTAATTTAATATTTTAAACAAAAAATTTAGATATTTAAAAACTATATGAAAAGTACTATAAATTCTAATTTTTTCTATATCGTAAAATGTTAGTCAAAGTTATTATCATTTGACACTAAAAAAAACTATAACAATTAAAAATAGACGAGATCAGTAAATCATAAACGTACTCTATTGCCCCCCTCCCCCTTTTTCTTACCTTATACTAGTACTAGTATAAAGTAATAGCTGAAAGATGAGACATAAATATCTTGATAGGTGTATTTGTTCTTTTTTACAAAGTCCGTAGGCCATACAACATCAATTTCCAAAGTGCACTTTTACCAAAAAAAATAAAAAATAATTCCAAAGTGCACTACTAGCAAATTAAATTTGAATATTAATCCCGGAAGAGTTAAAAAGAGTTTTTTTAAAATAAAATAAAATAAAATTGTGGATAGGAAAAGAGGAAATGAGGGAAAGAATTACCATATGAGAAATCGAACTCTAACAAAGGTGAAAGTTCAAATAGTCAATTACCTGATCTACTAAAATTGCTAAAAGAATGTTTGAACTGCCGAGGAAGGAACAAAACAAAAAAGACATGGCCCTAGCTCTATGATCTTTGATAAAAAACGTAATTTACAATTGCTATCTCCGATCTCCACTATTATAAGTTAAATTATATAGTATTGCAAAATATGTCCATGATAGAAATGACTTCGTAAGTTACTTGCAAAATTATTTAGATGTTAAAAATGGCAATAATATAAATAAGTTTTTGACGTACGAAATATTTTAATTTTCATTACACGTTATACTTTAGTCATTCACCCTTATAATGATTAAATCGTTTTGTATTTATCCCTGATTAGAAGAAGTTCTAACTTCAATAGAATAAATGATAATTATAAAGTTATAAATCATAGCAAATAGTCGAATAATTTAAACTTTTTCCACAAAATATTTCCACGCAAACCTACTCAACTTCAAAATTAAATATAAATATAAAAATAAAAGATTTTACTAAACGTAATAAAGGAATGAATGTCAATGGACTATATTTAAATATTCAAACATTTTATCTTACAAAAATGTTACAAGATTAAATCAATTATAATGAAGTGTTAAAAATTTATTAATAAATATATTTATTTATTTATTGTAAATATCAGTGTCAATTTTATGTGAGGAAAAAGGAAACGGGGATGTTCCGGAAAGATGCTTTGCTTAGATACGTCTCCTCCGGAAATCTGTATACAAAGTTTGGACGTCACCCCTTACATTACATTACTTTACTTTATTTTAGTGTTATCCGTTTCCCCCTTTCTCTATATTTCTGCTTTCTTCATACTGTTGCTCTTCTTTGACTCTTTTCCAACTGTCTTAACTTCTCCGACTGCATAACTCTGCTCCGGCGCTTCTCTTCATCGGAAAATGTCTTACGACTATCTCTTCAAGTACATAATCATCGGAGATACAGGTTAAACTCTCTTTCATCTCTTCATTTTCTTTTTGTTTAGTTTACTCTGCTTTTTTTCCTATTTTGAAACCCTAATTGACCGTACGGATTACTTTATTTGAACAGGAGTGGGAAAATCGTGTCTGCTGCTGCAATTCACAGACAAGAGGTTTCAGCCGGTGCATGATCTCACCATTGGAGTCGAGTTTGGGGCTCGTATGGTCACCATTGACGGCAAACCTATTAAACTTCAAATTTGGGACACTGTAATATATTTTTCCGCTTGTTCTCTCACCAATTAGCTTTAAATTTTAACTGTTTTCGCAGTTTGATCGCTTTCTTCGTCTCGCATTGAATGCTTGGTCGCTGTACACGTATCTAAAATTAGAAATCATACGTCATTAAGTACAGTAACACTTGAGAAACGCTTACACTGATCAGAAGTCTCTATTTAACTTGGTGCTGCTCTGATTACTGTTCTTCGGCTTCTCATTCAATCCTGTTCTCCTCTGCAATCACCACAGATTGTATTGCTATCAGTTTTCCTATCCTTGCCTCAAAGTAAATAGACAAAGGGAAAACTAATTATATATTAAGCATCAATCCTTTTAGGAAAATTCGATAGGTGTGTAAAGTGAACTAGGTACAGTCTTTTCGAGTCCTCTAACAATAGGAGAAGGATCAGCAAACTTGCTGACCATGCCTCTTGGTCTCTATTCTGAGTAAAACTTTGACATCAACTCTCTCTGTCTTTGCTCCTGGTCAAACTTAGTGAAAACTGCACCATCATTTACACTTTAATGCCAAAATTTTAAGGATAAAAGTTTTGTACTATCATACATATCTGAAGAAATGGAAAGGTAGGTTCTAGGTGATGCAGGATTGCACGAGTGCCGGTCTCTGCACACAATGTTTCTAGTAACACTTCTTCATCACTTAGCTTGGACATGATGCTGGTACAAACATTTTAAGGCTGAATGGCAAATTTGCAATTGAGTATTATTTTTAAGAAAGATTGGAGTTAAGTTTTTAATTTCCTATGTTTTATTTGTGTTCATCGGTGAATAGTTGTTATAGATCATCTTATGTAGAGTTAATTACATTTCCTTGAATTAATCCAGACTTGAGTACCTATGACCTAGTCCTGCATAGTTTTAGGGGAAAGTGCTAGGTAAAGTTCTCAGGTTGTTTGGTCGCTTTTCATTACGAGTAGGAAGACATGTTTCGAGATGGTTGTTTGTTTGTGACCTAGTTTTTAATTCACCTGTCCATAGCATTTTTTGATAAGGACGTGTCCATAGTGTTTCATGCATTCTGTATAGATGATATCAAGTTAGAAGCCATGCAACTTACTCATGGTCTTAAATAAGTAGCACAGTCAGACCAAGGAGAGGACTCTCCATCTGCGAATATAGGGTTGGGGTTTGAGTCACCAAGGGTACAAAGTGGGAAGAGTCATTGGTATCTCCTGGGTTGGAATTTATTTTTTTGGAGTAGGGGGGAGGTGGGGGAGTTTTCTACCATGTCAAATATGTGTGCTGAATCAAATTTAAGTATGATGCTACACATTTCCTGTCTAACCCTTGGTTGTTCGTTGTTCAAACAATCAACTTAACATAGACTGATGTTAAACTGACGGTTATCTCTATGTTAAAAGACAACCTATTTGATGCTTTAACTTCTATCCTTTTTCACTTCTTGATGGTCAAGTTGATGACCCAAGGGTCTACGGGGAACAACCTCTCTACCCCACAAAGGTTGTGAATTGTGACAAGGGTTCGGTCTGCGTACACCCCACCCTATTTGTGAGATGACACGTCAAGTTGATCAACATTTGGACTTAAATTGGATATAAGCTAGTCTTCTCTTTGAATTTGGTTTGAAGAAACTACATGTATGTATTACAAGGTGTTTCGCTTTAAACTGCTGTCATATTACATTAACTCTAAGAAACTACATGTATGTATTATGAGGTGTTTCCCTTTTAATTGCTGTCATATCACTCGTATTACATTAACTCTTGGTCAAATGTTGCATTTTCCAACTCTTGGATTGTGGAAGAAGGGACAAATGCTATGCAATGAGGGGATATACGTGTACTTAATAATTGTGGATCACTCAGTATCTTTTTTATTCAAATTAGTTTCTTATTCTATCAGCATTATGTTTGGACTTTGATCTAATTCAATTACAGTGATCTATAACTCTCCATCCCTCCATGCACCTTTCTTTCTCTAGGCTGGGCAGGAATCTTTCAGATCCATCACCAGGTCATATTACAGAGGAGCAGCTGGCGCACTTCTGGTTTATGACATCACCAGGTATAATCCTATTGCTGTTTGCATTTGTACACATACAACCTATGATAGCTCACACGTAAACTTGCATTTGCTTCTTTGAATAATCTGGTCACTATCAGCGGAGAAACTTGTTGTAAGAGAAGATTTTACTTTTTCCCTTTTTATATATTTTTTTGGGGGGGCTGTTGCCTTTTCAATTGCCAAGTCCTCTTGCACAGAAGCCCTACTTTACTGTAGAGGCAAAAATTCTTGAGATGTCAAGCAGGTCTCTGATCGTATGAAACACTAATTGAGGATTCCTGTAGACATTCCACTTCCCTTCAAGTCATTAATATGCAGAAATAAGATATTTAAAACTTTAACTTAGGATGTGTTTGGTGTTGAGGAAAATATTTTCCATTTAGGAAACTTGTTTTCCTAGAGACATGTTATCTAAAAATATTGACCAACCCTCCATTGCAAACACACCAAAAATGTTTTTTTCAATTTTCCATGTTTGGTTGGTCAAAGTTTTGGAAAATTTTCTCTAGGAAACAAATTCTTCAAAAATGAGGAAAATGACTTCCATGATGGAAGTGGCATACCACACTTATTGCATCCTCCCCACCCTCCAACACGCCCCATCCCCATAGTCCCTCATCCCCTACCCCTCTACCCCCACCTCTTATAGTATTTTCCTAGATAATATACAAAATGCTTTTGGATAATAAATTTTTGCATATATACCAAATACAAGAATATAAGTATCAAACCTCACGTATTTTGTATGGAAAACATCCCCTCCCTACCAAACACACCATCTTGTGGACTAAATGGGCGATACTTTTGTTGTTGCAACATTATTTGATGAACTTTACTTGTTAAGCCAAATCATTCCAATTGGCTGTAGTTTACCGAAAGTGACACAAATAACTTTAGAATTTTTGGCTGGACATGGAAATTATGAGTAGTTAGCATATTAATTGTATGAACTAATGAAGTGTGCATCATTGGTGTATCATGTACATATTTTAGCAGATTGTAATAAGAGAAGTATGTTCGGGATTTCACATACTGAATATTGGATTCTTGGAGTAAAATTATACTGACAAGTTGAATAAATTGGAAACTGGTAACTTGACAGGAATATTTTCCATCAGATTAGTTAAGTCAGTGTGATGATTCTAGCAGAGCACTAGCTCAGTTGTATCAGTGCCTATATGATCACATTTACACATCTTGCGGAATGATTGTCTCCAATGGTTCTAGTATTTAATTCTGATATTCATTTCCCGTATGATTTTTCATCAGCATTTTGTTAAAGCTAGTAATTGTTCTGTTGTCTAGGAGAGAGACATTTAATCACCTAGCCAGCTGGCTTGAAGATGCTAGGCAGCATGCAAATCCAAATATGACTATAATGCTGGTAGGAAATAAGAGTGATCTGTCTCATCGAAGAGCTGTCAGTAAAGAGGAGGGAGAACAATTTGCAAAAGAAAATGGGCTTTTGTTTCTTGAGGCGTCTGCTAGAACTGCTCAAAGTGTTGAGGAGGTATACATATTAGCCGGTGCCCATGGCATCTCTTATATACTATGTCGCTTTTATCAAATTCCATTGAAGCTATTTCTTAAACTAATGCAATGGATTCACAGGCCTTTATACAGACTGCTGCCAAGATACTTCAAAAGATCCAAGAAGGTGTTTTTGATGTCTCCAACGAGGTAAACAAATAGTTTTCCGTGTAAATGTATGAAGAGGCATTTTCATCATTGCTAATTGTGTACTGCTTTCATGAGCATCTCGTTTTAGAATCTGTGTGAGTAACTAAAATAGGATAAGATCTTTTGTTTGCAAGCTCTGGATATGGGCAACTTAGATGGGTGAAATCGTTGTTTAGTTGGTTGTAAACTAACTATAAATGGAAGGGTAAGTTTTAGTGGGCCTGATATTTTGGGTGTCCCAACCAAGGAGTTGTTTCCGATCTGCTGTACACAGTTATCCTTTTTTTACCCCTTGGGATGAACGTTATCATTGATACATTTTCTAACATACCTCACTTGCTACTGTTGCAGTCATCTGGAATCAAGGTTGGTTATGGGCGTACGCAAGGTCCAGCTGGTCCAAGGGATGGAGCGGTTGCTCAAAGAGGTGGATGTTGCAGCTAGTGTACAATAGGGGTCCTAATTGTAATGATACTCATAAACTTGCTTTGGTCCTCACTCAACTAAGTTACTAGACTTGTACAGCTCAAATTCAGTTGACTCAATTTACTCATATTATTCAGAGTAAAATAGGTTCTTATGGAGCTGTTAATTCCAGTACATGTGATGTTTGAGTTACATTCAATGTTAATATAGTACATGGATTGAGTTGAGCTCCGTTTGTTTTGATAAGAGCCTCTTGTAGGATCCTATCTCCATTTCACATTGCTTTTAAATTGTTGTCAAGTTCTCTTCTACAAATTTATCATTCGTAGAGTTAAGATTACTGTTACCAAACACCAGTAGATTAAATACAGAATCCAATGATCTTTGCTATTTATTACTCATCATATCTGAGAGGAGGCAGGTTTTTCTTCCAAGCCCTGAAAATTGGCGGTGATAGGGCTTATATTGTTGTTGCTCCGTTGATATTAGTATTATTAATATGGTTATTTCAAAAGGATGGTAGAAATAGAGTTAATACCGCCTGGTAGTCTTGACAACTCGTCACCAACAATCCCTTTTTATTGTTTAATTTTGACCCTCCGATATCATAAAAATTTATTGACTCAACTAATTTAAATTTACATCTTAAAAATCACTAAATACGCTCATAAAAAGAAGTTAAACATAGAAATATCTATCCATTTATCTTTTGAAAATGACTTCTTCTTTTTTTTCGCGAGAGAGTATTAAATGCATGATGCATGTATGTAGACAGAGATTTATTTTGCTATATATGTTTTCCACTCATTTTTTGTGGTTAACAGGGGAAGCACATTCAGAAAATCACTTCATATTGAAGTTGATCAATATGCCTATTTGCGAAGTTCGACCACACAAATGAAAAGGATCAAAGAATAATGAAATTAGTACATATTGAGGTATGAAAGATCGCTATCTGACTACGTTTCTTCTTTACCAAAAAAAAATTGACTACGTCTCTTATGAGTTATTCTTGGAGTCCGATATTTAAGTCATCAGAGTTTTATTGATGTCACAGCAGTTAGGCAAATGTTAAATCCTTGGCTGCAGAGTGCAGCTGCCACTGCCAGGCAAGCATACAGTAATTACTTTTGCCAATTCCCAACACCTACCTATCTGTGGTCCGTCGCTTATTTTAATCATCAAATCCAAAAACTTGTAATCACCATTAACATTCATCATCTGGGAAATTAACCATGGCATGTCATAATCGTTTAGTAGTATCTGTTTTCGATTTATCCTAATTAATTTGAATCTAAGTATTTTGGCACGTGGAATTCACCCAATTTATGATAAATTATATTTTTGTGTAGTAGAGATCGAAAATAACATCGAGTTAAATCGGCATCCCACACACTCCACGTATGAACTTACACCGGGTTTGTTTGTAGTAGTAGAGATCAGCCAAATGCTAAGCTTTTACCATAAAATCCAAATAATCTGCCGATACTTGAAGAACAAAACGCATGCAAGGAAATTAATGGATGCTAAAACGAATGATAACTACTAATCGTAATACCTAGCGGAACCTACTGATGAGAATCCATTAGGCAGGTAATCAGCTCCGGTGACAGTTTTCAGATAGAGAGATTTGGGATCTTGGGCACAAATTTTCAATGGAGTCGGAGAGACCTGCATAAACATGTAATTCCCAGCAAAAAGATCCCCAAAATGTGACTGGCTTTCCTTCAACCTCTTCAAAATTTTATCCAGTGCAGCCACGATTAATCTAGATTTTCTCCTTAAGAATTTCTTCAAGCTGGGTACCTTAATCCTCAATCGCTTCCTCAGATGCACTTTTCTGAACGAAGACGGCTTTCTCCTAAGCTGCCCAATTACCTTTTCTCTCAGGTGTATTAAATCAATATCTTCATCTTCGAAGTAGCTGCTATCTTGTTTGAGTTTCTGGTAGGGAATTCGATTGACAGCGGTGTATGCCATTTCCGAAACAGAGCTGAAAGTGAAACAAACAGAGTAGTAAGAAGGTTAGAAGAAAGTGTCAACTCATTCTCTTTAATAACATATTTAACTAGAAATCTCAAATTTAAACCTGACAGTTGAGCTTCTTCCGATATAGATTGTGAGTGTGTTCCGAGTATGATGCGATTATATGAAGAAAAATGTAAACTAGTAAAAAGAAATTATTTATGCTGTCAATGTATATCGTACCAAAAATGTAGTGATACAGCTTGTGGGGATTGTCTTTGTCATTGAGAAAATATATGGTGTGTGTTTGTCATTAACGCACAACTACATTGTGGGGTTGTAGGTATGCAGTTTGTTGCGTGCATTAAATGCAATTGAAACACCACCTAAAACGAGGCTTGTGGATAAGTAAGTGGCACTTGAAGACAACTATTCACGTCACTAAAGAGGTGGAATCAAAATTTGAGCGCTTAATAGTAGTGTCTTTTTAATGGGTTAATTAGCACTTGTGGGGCTAAGATTCTTTTATAACTATAAATGTATGATTATTCGTCTTTAAAGTCACATTATGGTCGGATTTGATTGCATCATCCTTCAGAAACGGTGAGTAGTAATCCTTTTAATATCAATCATAAAATGTGATGCAAATCACAAACCTATGAAAAGAATCAAGAAAATCCAATCTAATTTCAATTTTGAAAAGAAGTTGTGGGGAAGATATTAAGTAATGGAAGAATTGTTGAAAGGGAAATTTTCTTTCTTAAAATCTAAACCAGAAAAAACAGAGGATATACAGTAGTAGTTTGTAGTACTTGTGGATGTAGTAGAAGTATTTTTGTTCTATGGACCATGCTCCATTTTTCTTGTTACTCACTACCATTTAGTGCAAATTTAAATATTTATTGTGCAGTGCACACCCAAAGATAAAATCTATGTACATTTTACCTTTCAAAATTTTACTTATAAAATTATACCATCAAATATGTTGTAGTGAATTGTGATGCCCAAACATATAGGGGGACACTTGTAATAAAAGCAAAAGAGTCGATTATTATAAAACTCACCTCGCATTAAGGATACCCGGTGCTATTGTTGTAAGATTAATCATTTTACTGTATTTAATTTCTTGATTATTTTATACTAGCTTGTAGCCTCTAGACGTTGTTGTAGCAAGGAGAGTGCCTACACTTTGTTTAGGCATGTGGGGATGTAAATAATTGAGGCGGTACGGAAGGCTAAAGCTATTAAATACTTCTATAGTAAAATTCAAAGAGTAATTAGACAACTGATAATTTTAAAAAAGCCTTGTAATATTCAACCTATTTCGACAACAAAAGAAATTCTACTTGAACAACATCCCATTATTTGTTTTATACTAGACTTATTGCCAATTTCATTGCTCCTTCTTATCTTTTTATATAATAGTGTCCGACCAAAGCTATATCCACTTAATAAAATCTAAATATTCTCTTCACTTCATCAACCACTAGACCACCACTCCCTTATAAGCGGATAATTCCACAGAATATATGCTTACCGCTCATAAGCAACATATACCAAATAATCGTGTCCACCAAAACTTAAACAGATGGAAAGAAGAAATCACCTTCTCGCTCTTTCTTATTATATTCTTGTTCCTGAATCATATTTTTCTTCGTTTGCACATGCTCTGGTGGGAAAATAGTCGGTACATATTGACACTCTATGTATTAGGTCTAGTAGCAGCACAAGACTCTTTAAAGGACACTGCACAATAAACAGTTGATTTACAAATAATCTGATTCTAGGGATCTTGAGCTTCTATTGTTGGAAGTAAAGTAATTTGGCAAAAGCAAAACACAACAAGAACCAAACCATGTACAGAAGGAAATCGCATGGGCACAAGGCCAAAGCCATATCCAACAAATAAAAAAATCAGCTTCATCACCATGTTTCACATCCAAACTGATCAAAAAGCATTGCAGGTTGGAGCAGCAAAAGGAATCAGGGAAAAACAAGTAAGCTCAATAGAGCTTTATTCTGGTTTGAATTGAACTTCGACATATTGGGCAATTCTCAAGCGCTCTCCCACACTCACAACATGTCTGCATCAGGAACACGATATTGTTAAGTCGCAACAAGGTCTAATTTCCTCAAAACATCTGGCCTGCTCAATGGGAGGGGAAAAAAAGGTACCTGATGCCCACAGCCAAAGGCCATGTCTTTTGGGTTAGTAAGACAAATGGGGCAAACCTGCACAATGACGGAAAACATTCATTCCAGACAACTCGCACGGTTTATTTGTAAAACCAGCAACAGAAGATCAAAAGAAACTGAATTGCAGCAGTATATAGCAAATGTGACTTTTATGGTTTACCTGATTGTCATATGTAGAACTGGGAGCAGTGTAGGGAGAACTTGGAGCAGATGGAGCAGTGTCAACTGGGCGAGCACTGTCATAATAAGAACTTGAAGTCGGCTGAAAATGTGGTGCTGCATCGGCAGGGCTTCCATAACCGTAATACGAGCTTGCAGGCTGCTGAAAACTCGGTGCACGTGAGGTCTTTGAGCCACCGACAGAACTTGCCCCATACATAGGAGGAGGAAGAGCTACCCTATTGGGAGATTTTCCACTTTGTCCACTGCAATTAAGAAATTAGAAGATGTCATCACCTATATGACAGGGGAGGTCAGGAGAGACGTATAGCAGAATGAAAACAAAGAAATACATGAATAAATAGGCAGAGTGAAATCTGACCCCAGTAAGTTAAGTTCCATCGTCGCTTTGTATTGTGCAGGAATTTCCATCAATGCTGAAAGCGCAAACTCCGTCTCCTTTCGAGATTGAGGCACATTTTTGGCCATTATCTCCGTGAAATTGACGAACTAGAAAAAGAAATTATCAATTAAACCACATAAAAGGAAAATGTTCCTAGACAAGCAATAAGAGACACCACAATTAGACCACCACCACCAACCTGGAAATTATCGAAGTCCCTAGCAGGAATATTATCATCAAATTCCTTCATCATATCCCAGGGCCCATCGCCAACCCCAACCAGTATAATTGACAAGGGAAACTTGCTGCACGAAATAAGACAATGCACTCTGGAATTTGAGCACAAGTATGAAAAAGCAGCATGTAACAGATCTAAAAGATTTTATAAATACGAATGCCAGTCAGCACAAGGAAACTAGAGGTAAGTACCTTGCTTGTACGATTGCATCCACCGTTTTCTGCTCCTGCGGACTTAATTGTCCACGGCCAGTATCAACACTTCTAGTTACCTGAACAGATATAGAAATGATAGTTATAATATACAGTTCTAATACACTCAAATATGACCAGCAACAAGGAAATCCAACTAACTCATGCACTATGCAACTAAAGTTAAGTTAATCTGTGCCAGTGTGCTATTCGTTATTGTTCTTGTCTTGAATTTGGACAGAGATGTAGATTGATAAAACATCTTACCTGCCCATCTGCAATGATTAATAGAACATGGTACTGGCCTCCACTCTGTTCAACTATTGTCATGGCCATTTCAATGACCGGGGCGAATGATGTTGGTCCTGCAACAAAATGAGAAGGTATCTAAGTAAACTCAATCAATTACTCAGTCTAACACAGTAGAATTGGCTGTAGTAGAATTTAAACCTGCAAGCTTCAGCTGGGGGACAATTTCTCTGTAACGTGACAGAACTTCCTCAAAACCATTACAAAATCTTTCATCGGGAAAGAAATTGAATACATCTTGATCATGAGTTGATGCTGTCAAAAAATTATCCACATGGAACAAAATATTAATCTCGTACTGAGCATATCTGAAAGAAAAGTTCTATGGATTAAAAAGAGAAGGCGCATAGAGTTACCATCTCCGAATCCAAAACAAGGAATCAAGTTATCCTCATCAAATGCCGCTAAGGTTTTTCCAATTATGGAAATGGCTTGCTCATATGGGTTCAAATTCTGCCCAATGTGATGTAGGCTCCGATTACCAAAAGACCTCTTACCTAAAGAGCATATGCCCACTTTAGACTATTGAAAAATATAGCATGCAACTAATCAGAGAGGCAGGAAACAGAAGAACAAAGCTTAACCTGTCCATTCATTGCTCTTGGTGAAATCAATACCCACAATTAGATTCGAAGACTCCAAGCCAGCTCGTGCAAGGGCTTCAGTCACCTGATTAAAAATAAATTTGCATTTTTGTCATACATAGTTTTCATAAAAAAAATTTATCATATATAAAAGGTGAAAAAGCATGAGCCAATGTCCTTAAAAAGGGGTCACTAAAATTTAAAAATTCTATGATTCTTACAGCATTCACTTTTCTTGAACTGTTAAATAAGCATCTGATATTTTTTTGATAACCGAGAAATCCGCCTGTGATCCACCGCCCTTTGGACCAATCACAGCCTTCTAAACTCGGTGGATAATGGGCCCGCCCCTCTACCCTTCTCCACTTAAATACCGGGCTTCACTTTGCATGGTGTGGGGCTTGAACCTGCGACCTAAGTCACAAATCCTCCACCTTTTGCCACTCGAGCTAGGCCTTGGGGGCATAAGCATCTAATATTAAGATCTACAATAATCAAAATTACACCTCTATGGAAGTAGGACAGATAAAAAGAGCAAAGCTTTTCAGAGGAAGCATCTTCCTGCAGTTATCTGCAGAGGCGTATCCAGGATTTTGAGATGATGGGTGCACTATTATAAAAAAGTTGATCTATGATATAGTTTGATCGGTTCGACATTTAGGTATGAAAATAGTTAAAATTTTAAAATTCTAGGTCTAAAATTAATACATATATATATATATATATATATATATATATATATATATTAAATTAATTAAAATGCCAAAAGTGCTATTAATAACCACTTAGAGAAGTGTTATCTAATTTTAGAAAGAAAAATAAAATAAGATAAATATAAAATTCAAATTTCTAACCTCTCAGAGAGAGGTGCACCCAGTCATAATCGCGTTATGTGATACTCCGAGTGTGGGTTCACACATCTATATTTCAATATTTTTTAAAAATATA